GGATACTTGGGGGGAGGGGGGAGACACACATACATACACACACACACACACACACACACACACACACACACACACACACACCCTGATAAAGGATATTAGAAAAATAGCCAATCTTATTTTAAAAAAAAACCAAAGATTATAACAAATTAAATAAGGTACCAACACTTGCCTTAACGAATTAGCAAGTACCTTTTTATTTTCGGGGGGAAAAAAAATACGAAGGCGAGAGATGAGTGTCTGAGACCACTGCTCTAAAAGTACAAACAGGCCAACCTTCAGACCAACAGTGAGGTAATCAACGGCCTAACTGTTGGAGCCCATCTAGGTTTCCTGGTGGCTTTACCCAGCAGGTCTGCATGAAGAGGATGATTAGACCACAGGCCTGAGTGCAGGTGTTTGGAAGGGTCTACCCTTGGCTGTATCTCGAAAGGGGGAGGTCTTTGCTCCTCCCCTTGGCATTGTGATCAAAAGCCCTTTGGAATGAAGTTCTGGGCTGCTGGTGGATTGAGACCCAGGCCCTCCCGAGGCTATCGTGTGTTTTCTGACTTTCCTCTCATGGTCTAGGTAGCTCTTTCTAGCTAATATTTCTCACTTCTCCCTACTCAAGAGTACCCTGGGTCTTTGGTTGGTTGGTTGGTTGGTTGGTTAGTTGTTTTTTTCAAGACAGGGTTTCTCTGTGTAGCTTTGCGCCTTTTCTGGAACTCGCTTTGTAGACCAGGCTGGCCTTGAACTCACGGAGATCCGCCTGCCTTTGCCTCACGAGTGCTGGGATTAAAGGTGTGTGCCACCACTGCCCGGGCGCACCCTGGGTCTTAAAAGTGGTGGCTGGTCCACCACACCTAACAATGGTGAACATCACTGACCTGCAAGCTGCCTTCCCAAGAACCCATTTTCTATGCAAGTCATCAACTACGAGACCAGGCCTTGTGGACAAAGGTGTTCGCTGAAACAACCAAGTTTGAAGTCACATTTTTAAAACAATGACTAATAACTGCAACCTCCCCGAAAGGAGGCACAGTGAGTTAAAACACCAGGAAGCCACATGAAGGAACATCCCCAGGCACCTCTCCAGTGAATCAGAAAGGGAGATCGCATATAACAAAGGTAAAGGGGACCAGGGCTCACAAAGTGCACTGCATGAAGATCCTATCCAAGGTCGAGATGCATGAAGACGAGGAAGGAATGCTCACTGAGGCAAGGGCCTCTAGGTGAGGGATCAGGGTAATTCTCTCCCTCTTCCCACACGAACTGTGGGAGGAACTTCTCAAAACTTCCTACGACACTGCAGAGGGAGTCACACTCCTGTGACTCCATAAACATTTCAGGATGAAAAGAGTTTTTTCAAAGAGAGGGTGGAAAAGGGTTTAGAATGCACTTTGGAACTGAACGTCTATGACAGAATGGCAAAGCTCGGGTAATACCGTGGGACTCTGCCACCTCTTGGACAATCCTTTTCTGCAGACATAAACGTGGGAATGAAATCAGTCCTATGGAATCATAAGTATTAAATGATCTGAGGACAAAGTCCACTACCTGCCAAACAACACTGAATTCCCCTGTCCAAAAACAGTAAAGACCTCACAAGGCACTCACGCCAGCTTTCAATTTTAGCCCTTCAGTCTTACACCAGATCCTTTGTTGTTGTTTTCCTTTTGTTTGCTTGTTAAGGCAAGGCCTCACTCCACAGCCCTGGCTGTCCTGAAGTTCACTATGTAGACCAGGCTGGCCTCAAATTCAGAGATCAGCCTGCCTCTGCCCTCGAGTACTAACATTAAAGGCATGTGCCGCCATGCCCAGCCTTCTTACACCAGATTTTTACTATCTTGGCTTGGCAGCCCCTAAAACTTTACCAACTCCTTGTTGTGTATGACATTTTACAGAAAGATCATACGGTATTAAATCTAAGTAAATTCTAACATATGAATGACATGTTATAATTCCTGGAGTAAAGACCAAAACTACATCGATTTCATTTACATGTAAATAAAAAAATGAAATTTTAAAATCTTTACCAGCTCCTAAATCACAAACACAAAGATTACTGAACAACACTAAGAATAATAGTTTTAACTAATGACAATTTGGATTATTCTTTTATTTCCATTTCTCATTTTTTTTAATTCTTATTTTTTTATCTTATTTTAATGGGGGGGGGGACTTTTTGTAGCACTGGGGATTGAACCTGGGGACTCCTATACATGACAGGCAGGTGTAGCACTGAGCTACACCCAAAGCCCAGAAGCCACAGTGCACTGATGCCAAGTTTCAATTTCAGTCCTTCAAACTTACGCCCAATTTTTTAAATAGTATTTTTTAATGTATGTCATTTTTAAATAATGAAATTAAAAAGGCCCAACATGTAATAAGACTTCAATATCAAAGCCAAAGTAAAAATGAAAGTTTTCTGTCTGAATCACCTTGACCGTGGCTTCTCACATTCCAATCTAACTCCTCCCCAAGTTTCCCCACCTCATTCTTTTCTGAAGGGGTAGGAAATACACAGAGAAGAAGAAATGACAGTCCCTGGGAACATTCTTCATTTCCTCTTTAAATTTGGAGTAAGCATGAAATCCCAAGCTCCAAATAGCGTAAGTTTACAAAACACTGCACTCAATGTCTGTGTCTTAAGTGGCTATTCAGCTAGGCAGCTACCCAGCCAAAGGAGAACCCAGAATTTAATCAAACCTATCTTCAGCATCTAAATGAGGAATGTGAGGCTGGACGGACGCCCACAGAGCCCAGGGACTGTGCATCTGTCACAGCACCAGACCTGGAACTGTATCACTCACCTCTCCACTCAAGGGCTGTGTCCACTGCCGGACAGGAAAATTGAGAAACCAATAAGGCCAGAGGCTGAGTAACCAGAGAACCTAAGTACATAAATAAGGCAAGACACGAAAAAGCATCCCCGGTGCTGGTAGAGTAGTTTCTAATGCCACTTTGTAGACAATTTACAAAAAAGGAAGTGAAAGAGACTTCTTTCACCACCCACTGTGAAGCTATCTGTCCTTTCTCCTCTGCAGGGCTGCACATAACTACATGCTCAGGATACGATGTTTGGGTATTTTAAAACTATCCTACCATCCAAGTCATGAGGGTGACTTGTGCTCTATTTTCTCTGGGAAGCAGTGGGGGGGGGGGGGCAATAGAAAGGAAATGAGTTTAAAATCAAGCAGGCTGTATTATCCCAGACACACACACACCCACTATCCAATGCTTACTGATACAATACCTATGTGATGGCAGGCCTCAGTTGCTCTACTGAAAATCAATACATCTTGGTTTATGAGGAATAAGTTTTAAAATACACATAAAGTGCCCAACCAAAGCACAGAGCAGGCTGACTATAGGAGTTCCCATCTCTTACTTCCTACTTCTCAGCGTTGATGCCAAAGAGATCAGAGGCCGGCTGTTAGGGTTCATCTTTTGCTACAGGCCTCAAGGCCTGCTAGCAAATTTGAATAGTTACTTCGTTCTTCTCAAGCATTTTCACCCAAAAAAAAGTTACTAGTAGCACTACTAGGTAAGACTTTCTTCAGTCACAGTGCAAGCCTGATACCCGGATGTTCAGAAAACCCAGCAAAACATAAACCTACCCTAGGAATGGAGGAAGGCTGATTACATGCCTCCTGTACTAAATTGTAACAATCTGATTCCCAAGTTAAGCTTTTTTTTCCCCCAACTCTGCAACAAGTGATTCCAGCCGGAAATTACCTGCAGCCTCCAATCGCATTTGAACCTATTTTGTATTTACAAGCCCCAACAAAGAAACACAGGATGCACATGAAAATGTCCCGTCCAGTGAAATTTGTCACTAGCTTCCCATTCCCCTGGGGGAATGGCTGGAGGAAATGTGAACCTGCTAATCAATACTCAAGAGACACATTATCTATCTATCCTGTTCCCTTCCTAACACGTTCCTAGGAAAAAGTAAAGGCCAAGTGACAGGCCAGTTTCAGAGCTCTAAGTGACTGGAATGTTCAGGACTGAAGAGGAGCGCGTGTACTTTATAGAGGAGACAGTCGCCGTTGGAAGCCTTCCAGCTGCTTATTATTTGGGCCTGAAGAGGAGCCTCCCCTGAAGGCAGCTTGGCAGAGCCTGCTGACGTAAGAATCAGCCTGTGGTAACCCCAAATGGCCAGGAAGGCTTAAGTCTATTTTTTTTTTAACTACTGCTGTGAGGTGGCAATTAAGAGGGGGAAACAGTGATTAAGAATCCCTGGTGTGTGTCTTATAAAAACAGGAGTGTGAGACAGGGCTTCCTTAAGTAAAAGGTAGACCTCAAAAGAGATTTCAGTTAGAAGAAACTCCTGCTGATCGCTCCTCGTTGAGCACAACACTCAGCGTCTCAGCTGGTGGCTTCCACCCTGACCACAGAGGGTTCCTTTTGTGATGACAGAATGTGATACAAAGAAAAAGCAGTGTGCATTACAGATGTGCCTTTCATCTTTCCCGATCTAATTTATCCAGGATATGTGGGAAGGAGTGTGAAATTACTGAGTTACTACAAGAATCCGTAACCACCTGCAAAGACTGGAACTTTCAAGGCTTTAACATAATAAAAAAGAAGAAAATGGGAGAGCGAGGAAATCAGCCGTAGAGCAGCACCCGGTCCCGGGTAACAAGATCTTCGGCTGGCGAGGCCTTTGGGGATCAGGACGGTAGAAAGGGGGTCCACCGCCGGGCACCTAGGGCACGCGGCTGCGGAGAAGACGCCCCAGCAAGGCGACCTTCTGAAGAGTTCGGGTTGGGGTCCCGCGGCCCTCAGAAGAGGCGGGGGGAGGGAAGGCGGGAGCCCGGGAGGAGGGTGGGGAGGGACCCAAGCCGCGCCGCGCGCCGCACCCTGCCCGGGCCACCCCGGGCCACCCAGATGTTCAGAGCCGGATCCGGTAGCCGAGCAGGACGCGCGCAACTCAGGGCGCGGCGGGGCTGCGGGCTCCCTTCCTTCCGCGTGCAGACCCGACTCAGCACCTGGCGTCCCCGCCCGGACCACGCACTCACCGGGGGCCACCAGCGGCGAACTCACGGCGCCTCCCACGAACACCGCAGCAGAGAGCACAGCGGACCCCGGGAGTCCCCACGGAGCCATCGCCGCGTTCCCTGCACCCTCCTCTCCCCGGCCGCCGCGTCCCGGTCCAGGAAGATGGTGAAGCTCCAGAGACGCCCCGCAGATTGAGCCGGGGAGCTCGGCCTCTTCTAGCCCCTAGCCGCCCAGCCTGGACCCGCCGAGGCCCCGCCCACAACGCGGAAGCCCCGCCTCTGCCCGCCGCGCCCGGGTCCCCGGAGGCCTGGCCCCGCCCTCACGTGCATGACCCCGCCCCCCGGCGCCTCTCCCTGTCACTCCCCTTTCCCCTAAGAACCCTACGGCCGCGTCAGCCGCGCGGATAAGCCGTGGCCCCGCCCCCCAAGCCCCGCCCTCCGCTGTCCCGCCCCGCCCCTTCTGGTTGGGCGGGCTTCCTTTCGAAACCCTGCCCTGCAAAGTGGCGGGGCTGCGCGGGAGCCTCGGGCGGGGGCGGGTTGCTCCTTCTCCTGGGTCCTGGAACTAAGCATGGGAAGAGGAAGACGGAGGTTGGGCCTGGAAGCCCAGGATAGACCCCAGACAGAGCGGGCAGTGGATTGGCGCCATGTTTTTATTCTCTATTAGAGTCTCTGGCCAGTTAATTAGCCTGGGTTAGTGGTCTAGGAAGGCATGCTGCGTTAAAAGTCACGTTTGGGTGTTTGAAAATCAAGGGGGAAAGAAGAAAAACTTTTCGTGGTTCCCATCGCTGCTGCTTCCGTCTAAGCTACTTCTGTTGAGGAACACTTCTCCACACATTTCCAGGAGTAACTTACGGGGCATTTGTTTGATTGGTCGGTTGCTTGAGTTGGGTTGGGTTTTGTTTTAATCATATGCCTATGCTGCATCTAGCAAACACTACCCTGAAACAGCTCTTCAAGTTATCTGGTCACTTCTTAAGTCTTTATATCAGCTCTGTAAGACGAGTATTATCCCCATTTCACAGGCCAGGAAGTGAGCCCACATGTTTAAGCCACCGTGCTTACAGTAATTAACTCCAGTGTTTGCTCACCGCTGTAACCTCAGCACCTGACTCAAGGACAGCACAGAGTAGTTTTTAAAGGGGAATGGGCCTTTTTCTGAATAGCTCGGTCTTACCTTCACTAACCCTTGGAGACTCCACAACAAGGTCCTTAAAGCCTCGACTTGACAGATTTGAGTTGAGCAAGCCCTGAGCAAGAGCAAAGGGCTGAATGCAGACTGGGTCTTCAGCCTCTTCTGTAAACTGACTGACGATGGCCTCTGAGTTTCAAGGGAGAGTTTTTTTTTTCTCCTAAAAGCCTCTGTGCATTCTGCTTGTCTGTTACAAACATCACTGATGTGAGTGTTACCAGGGACAGTGGCTGAGGCTGAAGGTTGGATGCCCTGCCCTTTGAAGCCAAAGGTAGGCACCCTGGGTCCTGTGCTCAGTTTGTGGCACATCCTGTAGTCTGGCAGACTTAGAAGAAAGCCTTTCCTACTTGAGTATCAAAGGGGAAAACCTGTGAATGAATGCAAAGGATGACTAGTTTTATGTCAACTTGACACAAGCTAGAGTCATTTAAGAACCTCATTGAGAAAACGCCTCCATAAGATCCAGCTAGGGCATTTTTTTAAATTAGTGATTGACAGGAGAGGGCCCAGCCCATTGTGGGTGAGGCCACCCCTGGGCTGATGGTCCTGGGTTCTATAAGAAAGTGGGCTGAACAAGCCTCAAGGAGGAGCAAGTCAGTAAGCCGCCCCCTTCCATGGCCTCTCCGTCTCCAGGTTTCTGTTCTACTTGAGTTCCTGGCCTGACCTCCTCCAATGATGAACATCGGTGTGGAGGCTTTAGTCAGATCTTTTATTCCCTGTGGTCGTTTAAATAGGAATGGCTTCCATGGACTCATGGTTTGAATGCTTGCTCATCAGCGAGTGACACTGTTCGGAGGTGTGGCTTTATTGGAGTGGGTGTGGCCTTGTTGGAGGAAGTACGTCACTGTGGGGTGGGCTTTGAGGTTTCAGGAGGTCAAGCCAGGCCCAGTGGTTCATTGTCTCTTCCTGTTGCCTGAGGATCGGCTGTAGAACTCTCAGCTACCTCTCTAGTACCATGTCTGTCTGCACGCCACCATGTTTCCCTCCAGATGATGATAATAGACTAAACCTCTGAGCTGTAAGCCACCCAATTAAATGTTTTCCTTTATAAGAGTTGCTGTGGTCATGGTGTCGCTTCACAGCAATAAAACCCTAACTAAGACGCTCCCTAAGTTGTTTTGGTCCTGATGTTACATCGCAGCAATAGTAACCCTAAAAAGTAAGCAGGGAGACAAACATTCAATGGCTATGTAACTATTAAAGGAGAGAATCCCCGGCTTAGAAATTAAACTGTAAATTATCAACATTGCCAAGACCCAATGCATGTTGAAAATGCAGAGCTAACTGTTAGAAATGGGTCCTGGATCCCAGGAAAATGCACGTGATCCAAAGTATTTTGGCAAGGCCAAAAAGTTTTGCATTTGCAAAAGGGTGTGTAGCCACACCAAATCAGGCACCCAGTGGGTGTCCTGCGGGGGGGGGGGGGGGGTTATTCCTAAACAAAAGGGGTCCTGTGCCTCACTCTGGATGGGCAGAGCTCAACTTCACGTTATTATGTGATTGGCTAGTTTAAAGTGACCAAGCTGATAAGCAGGATGCAGTTTTCATCAGGAAGCAAGCACACGTTGAGAGCATATTTTGATTTCAAGAACTGCTGACCCTGGAGGAATTTGAATTTCTGCCACGCAGCTTCTTTACAATTCCCTTAAGTGAAGATTTGTCTTCTTTAACCCTTGGGGAGAAAAGACAGTATATTTCTATTACATTTACCAAATAATGAAGGAAAAGTTTATGTCGTTTGCAGGTGTAAGGAACACATGTAAGGCCTAGGGTGAACAACCCTGGTCAGGAGTGATAAGCAATAGAATGATGTAAGTAAACCACAAATGGAGTAGTGATAAGCTATAAGCTATGTGTGGAAGTAGGGATAAGACTAGAAACCTAGCCAGGAAAGAATATAAAAGATGAAGCCTCAGACCCGACCAACAGAGCTCGTCAGGCCCTCGCGAGAAACGACTCTCCTCTGCCAGAGACGTGAGATCCTGTCCCCAGTGCAGACGTGGCTGACCTGAGGAAGGCTGACCCAAGATCCAGAGGAACAGACGTGGCGAGTCCAGACCTGTATACCCGGAGAGGTACTCCTGCTTCCATTTGGAAGACAGGATGAGTATTGCTTGTAATCTTACTGTGTGAATAAATGAGTGTTATACCAAGTCTGAATCAAGAGTGATTATTCCTCCCCTGTAACTGGGGTATGTGCTCGATACAGCAGGAAACGTGGATGGCACTGGAGACCATCATGTTAAGCATAATAATGGGTTGGGAAAACCAAACATCACATTTTTCTCTCACGTGGAATCTACATTTAAAGAAAAAGAGGACATGAAAGGAGAAAGGGACCGGGTTGGTGGGGGGGTGACTGTAACCAAAGGACAAATGTCCTTTAAAAAGCCATTATTTTGTACAATTAATGTACGCTAGTAAAAATACATGCAGGGCTGTTCATACGAACATCACCAAGAATTTCAAGAACACAGCATCAAACCACTTCTCTGGCTTTCTTTTTTTTAAAATAAATATTTTTATTTTATAATTAATTTAATTTTACATATCAGCTACGGATTCCCCTGCCCTCCCTCCTCCCCCCCCCCCAGCCTCCCCCCCCCCCCAAAATCCACCCCCCATTCCCACCTCCTTCTCCGGGCTTTCTTAAAACACACAATCACATGTGTGGCTGGTGCCTGTAACTGTCAGAAGAAGTAATCAGATCCCCCTGAAAATGAAGCTGTGGTTGTGAGCTGCAGGTGGGTGCTGGGAACCTAGCCCAGCTCCTCTGCAAAAGCAACCAGTGAGCAGGAGCGTGGCTGCTGAGCCTTCTCTCCAGCCCCTGGGTCCCTAACCTTGCAGATTTGTTTACTTGAGGAAAAACTTTCATAAATGCATATCTAAAAGCCTACTGTTTCATTTTAAATGTGAATGACTCGAAGGTCCCTTCTGTCTTACAAGAAGTTACATTTCTCCTGATGACATAAAACTGGCATTATGAAACTGGGTTTCCCTGTTTTTTTTTTCAGCAACGAAATTAAATGGAGAAATAGTTGTAACAATAGCCTTCACTTGTTCATCTCCTGGACTTGCCGAGAGAACACCTTTTCCTGTGTCTATTTCAGTAACTCCTCAGAGCAACATTTGATTTGGAGAAGTATCATTAGTGAGCCTCACTTTGAAGCTATAGAAATTTGGAATTAAAGACGCATGGCATCTACCTGAGTGACAATAGCTGCTGCCTGGTCCAACCAGGAATCAAATCTACTCACCCGTGCCTGGGCTTGTAACCTGCACACACACAGTTCTGCCAATGAAATGCAGGGCACTGGTCTCTCCGCTCTTCCTTTTTCCAGTAAGAACTTTCCTCCTCTGAATTTGTCACTGCATGTTTAAACTGGGCTTTTCGAAATTTTCCCCTGGCGTTCTACAGCCCTATGCTCCAAGCCAAACCGCCGCCATCTTCATGGACTCAGCTGTGCTTGCTTGTAGAAGTTCACAACAGCTGGTGTGGGAGCTGGAGTTACGTTTTAAGTTAAGATTACTGTGCTGATGAGAGCTATAAAACAAAAATGCCTCTAACCTATAAGCTCACTTGCCCAAGGACAGATAACTTTCTAGAATGCTGGGGGCTGTTGTTCATGTAAGATAACCAGCCATGTGTTTTCGCTTCTATAAACCAGGTTGGTTGCCCCAACTGGAACAGGCTATGCATGCTCACTCACGGGCAGGAATTACGTCAGGATGTATGCATGCCCCTGGTTGGAGTAAAACAGGAAGTATGTGGATTTTGCCTTTATAAGCACCTGACTGATGTAATTTGTGGCTATTCTCTGAGAAGCCCAGATATGGGACACCTGGCCAGTGTCCATCATCCTGACCAGTATTTAATAAAGTTTGCTTCTAATTTGGCTCAAAAATTGTGGTAGTGGTCTTGTTCTTGCCTGGTGGGATTAACACTGTTAACTGTTGGTGTTTCCTACATAGGAGGGGATGTCAAGGGTCACTGGACCGTTGCCTGAGTTTTCCACCCCTACCCCCCAACCAGATTATGAAATTCTGCACTAATCGCCCTTGGCCTTGGGT